ATTTGAACCCTCCTTGTTGAGAATATTCTACTTGATTCAATTGCACTTCTCAGTTTGTATTAAGAGCATGACCTTGTCTTCATAGCTGTTTAGCGGCACTGTTTGGGTAATTTTTAGTTCCTGATGTTATTATTGTTGAATAGAACCATGCAGATCTAACTACGAATATGTCCTTTTGTTGTCTTTGGAGCGTTTTGTGACTGTGCATCTCCCGAAATAAGTTTTTTCAGCTATACAGTAGGATGTAGAGACTGGTTTCCTGAGTTCAAACCAAAACAAGTCGGTTCTGATCGTTACAAATGAGAAGTTTTGGATATTCTCAGTCTTATTCGTTTAAGCTAATTAATATCTAACTTTGTTTTCGTTTCCCTCTTCATAAATCCAAATACAAGGTGAGTGATTTTCTTGTTCATAATGAATTTATGAACAGGAAGTTAAACTCAAAAAGTCATCCAGTAAAGCATATTGTGTGAATGTGTTCAATAACAGATAAACAAATTATCTTATGGTTAAGCTCTTACAATGCCCCAGTTTTACTCATGTATCTGTTACATTGTTAAACTGGTTTGTATATGATCACTTGCACTTTTTATGATATATATATATAAATGAATTTTTTATTCCACACAAATAAATGAAGATATTGAGTTTGTAGAAATTTGACTGATTCAAAGGTTCTTTTCTTCACGGGGTCATAAGTGTCTTCTCACAGAGTCCCAAGCTAAGGAGAAACAGTTTTTCAGGGATCCTTTATCTCCAACTGTTCCACTAGCTTATCTTGTTATTTGTTAAAATTGTTCTTTAACTGATGTTAGTCGAAAGAAAACGTCATGGTATAGTGAGTAGTACTTAGAAGTGTTCACCTCTAAATGAGAAGTGAGTTACAATGGAATAAAAGCAATCAGACCCTGAAGGCCTAATATTCGTTATATGTGATAACAATTCCTTTTGATGGCAGCTTTTAGATAAATTCATTAACAGATGAAATTAAATATCGATTTTAAATGTTCTTTTTTTGATTGCTTACACCGGATAAAGTGCTGAAGTGATGAACAGATTCATCTCACTTATTCATTTTTTGTTTAAAACTATGCAGTTATCTATGGATAATAGTTTTCAGGGCAAACACTGATCAAAGACAGTCATTGGAAAATAAAAAAGATTTTATACAGTACAAATCACCAAGGTAGCAATACATAATTACATACATATACCTAAACATGACCTGAATATCTGTCACTTTTCATTTCCGACGTAACTAAAGTAATTTTATTATTGAATAAACTTCTATTAGATATTACTATCTCAATATCATTTCAAAATTAGTCGTGTAAACTTCATATACCACTGAAATTTTTGTTATCTAATTGTAATTAGAATATTCAAGTTTTGGTTTGCAAGCATTTGATTTGTTTCATTTTAAACAACAGATCGATATCAGTTGGATAACCACTGGAAACCAGGAAATACTGGATAATCGTTTCGCCCTAGTTTGAGACTCTCATCTGTACATAACAATGAGCCCACTATAGACGGAGCACGGGACCTTGAGGTTACAAGGCCAGGTGGCTGACCATTCAGTCACTTGGACGGGATCCACTGGCTTGTCAATTCTAACTTCTGCCATTTCTCTGTACGCAGCGCCACCTCAAAATCTAAGTAGTATCAATACGTGATTTAACTTGAAATGAACCAAATCCTCACTAACTAACACTTGAAAATTAATTTAATGCTCACTAGTGACTGGCTATATTATGAAATTGCCTGGAGTTCTAGTAAGAATTGGCGACTGGTGAAGTCTACCGGGTCGGTTGTGAGAACAAATAGTTACTAATAACATTGGCTGGTGGTGACGCTATTTATCTCATATCGGCGGATGGGTTATTGAATCTCATCCCAGTGGCCAAACAGTCAACGGACTGGCCTCATTCCCTAAGATCCTGGTTCACCTCGGTGGAGTGATGGGTGTGTACTGTTTAAGGGTCCTGAACTGGGGAGAAAAAGTGGTTAGGCTGAATTACTGAATATTCTTCTCTCGCTTGTCTAGGGAATATTTTCTCAAAGCGTCTGATTTTAGTGCAAGATGATACGCGAGTTACCTGTGAAAAAATAATTCTTATTAAACCACAGTAATCATCACGGAAAAAAGAAGCGTCATGAAAAAGCCCACTCTATACGAAATGAGGGGTGTTGAGAGGGATTTTCATACATTTCCGATTTCATTTAATCTCCCATGATTTTTTTGATTGCAGCTTGATTCCACACAGTACTTTTGGTAGAAGTATGGAATTTTCAGCATGTGATATCGGTAGCCCAAATTTTGCAGGCCGACCATTGATATCAGGTGTGCGTCGGCAGGGAATCGAACCCCGGACCATGTGCATGGTCGCGAGAGTCCTAACCACTGTGCCACCCGCATGATTCTCTAAATTAGTGACAATGAAATGGATAAAATTGAGAAACTTTTCGTTCTTCACTTCACTATTCAGTGGTTAGATGAGAATCTTCACCATTAGGTTTATCAGTTAGCGAATAAGTGTTTATAGCACCAGATTACCTTTTACATACTTGATTTGTCAAATAGTAAAGAAATCAGCTTTCATAATTTAAGAAGCTAATTAATAAATGACTATAAATATAGGTTAGAAACCACGCTGATTGATTCATGGTTGTTAGCGGGAACCTCTGGATCTATATTTTGTGCTCATTAATACTAATTGGCTAAACGCATCTGCATTCTCATCGGGACCGATTTTCTTTTGATGGTTTGGGCTCAAATGCACTATCGGTAACGTCTCTGGCTGCAGCATCGAATGATATGGGTTCGGCACTCTCCATGGACATCAGTTATACCATGTTTGGTGACATATCTGGTTGACGGGTACAAAACCAGTATCTCACATACTGATTCCAACCAATCGATATAAACTGTAACGTAGCGGAAGGACGATTTTTCTGGATTGGTGAGAATATTGCAAACTTGAGGGATAAATTTCAGTCTGTACAACGACTATAAAGCATGATACCGTATACTCACTAGTGAACAGTCACTGTACTTTATGCATAGTCAATCTGTTTATTCTGAATGTTATATTTATACATTCTTTGAAATTAAGACAATAGAGCGTGCCTTATTCACAAGTGATCATTTTCTACCGACTTGTGCTAATTGCTTTTCAAAATAAATCGAGATCTTCGAGAGACAAATTATGAATTAGGACTCACTATATAGTGATTTCTTTCTAGACTAGGAGTAATTAGCAATAATGAGGCCAGGGGAACTCAAATCTCTTTGTATGTTTACACTCAACCAATAGATTTGAACCTTACGCTTTACTTTTTTGAATAATTAGTGACAATGTCACAATCGCTCAATGTCATTATTGAGCGATTCTCCTCAAGCCTGAGTTGTGCAGCATCAAAAGGTATTTCTTTTAATAGGAAGTTGAAGCTTCTAACAAAAATCAGGTTAGGAGCAGTAATACCAGTTTATCACAGGCTAACTCATTGACAACATCAGACGATGACACCGAATCACTATGTATTATAAATGCTTTCAATAACTACCAACAAGTGATTTATTGTATTCAGTTAAATCAATAAATTTAGATTCGTATAAATAGTGCTCTTAAGGTTTTACATGTGCGTTGGTGGCATAGCGGTTAGCACGCTCGCCGACCATGCACATGGTCCGTGGTACGACCGGCCGACGCACTCCTTTACCTCGCTAAGCCAGAAATAATGCTAGTGAAGAGGAAAGGTTGGACATGAGGCTAGCAACCCCATCCTGTAAAAATAAACACTGCTTCAGAAACTTCAAGCCACAAGCTTGAAGCCCTATGTTCCACTGGTAAACGTGAAGGAAAAAAAAGGTTTTACATTCCAGAAGTATGTTCCGGTAAAGCGTGACGTCATGTGCCGAATGATTTTTAAGTTATGTTGCGGGTAAATGTTGACAAATAATTCATCTATAGGCAATTCGAAAATTTCTCACAACATTTTTTTCACTATTTTCTGTTTCATGATTAGTCAGTCTCTGATTGCTCGTTGGTCACATGTAGAGGGAGATTTGTTTATAACATCATTGGAAGTGTTTTTATGTACACTAGTGGTTAAGCCGAATTTAAACAGATTAAAGACCAGTCACTGTTTACGTTTTACAAACATGTTTAGAGACAGGTGAACAGCACCATCAACTAATCGTCTATCGTGCTTTGAATTAGTCTCTAACTTTTGTTGACACATATTTTAATTTCATCTTCAAATAGTTCTACATGTGTGCATGTTAAAAATCATGATTCGGATGTATTTTTCCTACCTATCATTATGTTACCAAAAAAAAATAATAAACGTTACACTGATAACTTGTTTCCCCTAAATGGCGTCAATCACTAGTAATATATTTTTAAACCCATTTTACCATTTCCGTCTTAATATATCTGAAATATGTTGGGCTAGTGTTTAGAGTGAATTGCTCGAAATATTTGCACAGAATTATCTATCCATCACGTTGAATCAAAAATTAATTTACTTCCTATACAGAGATTAATCATCACGTCTATTCTTCATCTGTTAATTTTATTTTATTTATCATTGAAGACGGGAAAGTAGACATAAAGAAACGCTTTTTAAAATTTAAATTGATTTTCAATATTTTATACTGGTTCTCTTTTTTGGTTGACGCCCCTTAAAAATATGTTTATTACTCCGACGCAGTGTAATGCTTAAACTCGTTCGTTCTTCCACTCACTCATTCACTCACTAACTCTCTCTCTTGATTTTCCTTTAGGGTTGTAATTGTTACAGTTAAAATGTCATTGTTATTACTAGTTAGTACACACCTACGTGAACGACATGATGATTACCTGGTCTTAAGTGATTTTAACCAATGAAATTATAGTTTTGTATTAATGACTCACTTGTGTCTTGTATTCTGATTGGTTAAATAATGCATAGCTCTAAAATGACAATCATTTATTCTTCACAAAATAGGCATAACAATATCAAACTTCTTATAATTATGATTTATTTCTCTAACAATAGTAATAATGATCATTCCATAGTGGAAAATTTTAGAAATATGAGAACATTTATGAGATTTATCTATTACACTTGGAACTAATTAAAACATGCCTGAAAGTCAAATGCATCCAGCATTTTACGCTTCACGTAGACAGTTATGGGCCACCTTATCAACGAATAAAGTATCATGTTTTTGGCGATTTATACAAAATATTGGCATAGGTTCCAATTGTACATCATTAGGTAATGTTTGGTATGTAGTCTTTACTACATCAAGTATTGCATGGCTCTTAGTACGAGCTATATGGAGATATAAAGATTTTAAAGCTCAAGCATATAATCCACGCTTTGGAAATAATTGGGATGAGAATAATACACTATACTTCCAATTGGGTTCAATAATTTGTAGTCTATGCTTATCACCTTTATTAATATATTCTGCTTTATGTCGAGTTGGTCATTCAGCGAATGATTCCGTTATTCTTGGTAAAGATATTCTACACTTACAAAATTTACTATTATCCTTTCCTGCTTTACAAAAATTCACTACAGCGTATTCTTCAAATGTCTATGGAAATACATCTAATCGTTACAATAATAATAATAATAATAGTACTACAATTCCTAATGGTAGTGCTGGTGTCAACGGAGTTACACGTCCACGTGAACATTCATCATTTGAAGAGGAGACATTAGATCCATTCATCTTAAAACGTCGTGGTGAAGATTTTTATGAACAATTATCAAGTCATTTTAGACCATTTTCCTCTATACTATATGTACTTATTACTTACTTGTTTCTCTTGCCTATATGTATTATGGAAGCTGAACAGATCAAAAATGAAGCTATCGATCCACGTAAGTTATTACATGAAGAAGTTTAAAATGTATTATAGTTTTGTTACAAGATTATGAATATCGAAGGTGGTATGTATTTCCTTAGAGTTGTTGCTTATAAAGCTAGAAACTTAAATATTTTGTCACTGCGTAAAATTATACCCATAGTCGAACTATTTCTAACCAAATATTGTCGACATCACGTCCCAAATCATACGTGTATTCACTTCCTTTCTGTGGGGAAGTGGATTTAGTCATATATTTGGACTTAATACTTTCTGAAATGATAATCTGAATGTCTTTAATTGCTTTTTTGCTCAGGTCATAAAGGTAAGGTCTGTGTGGTTACGATTTCTGTAATGATACATAATTATACATGTTTATCTAATGTTTTAATTCTTAAGTTATACATGTGCTTTTTGTTATTATTGCTCTTATGAGCTTGTAAATTATTACTGCGATATTATTTTCACTTGACACTGTATGAAATTGTCGAAATATGAACTTCTACTGTTTTCTGTTCTAACTGTTTGATTGGACACTAGTAACTAGTGTGATGTGCCTAGTCCTTTCTTTGATGTAGACTGAATTCTATCAGTCAGGTTTGCAATGTGGCCACCATACTAGGTAGCTCACCATCAAGTTCCTTCAAGGCTGCAGATACGCCTTACTGACGAGTGCCAACTAGCACGAAACCTAGGTCTAAGGCTTCCTGTCGATTGCCTCCAACCATCTAATATTCTAACTGTTTGTTCAACATAAATGAAGATTATCAACAGATTTATTGATTTCTGAGATTAATTCAAATGGAATGAAAATAATCAGTTAGTTGTCTTTCACATTGCATTGTGTATTTTGAATAAATCTATTCATACATATGTACATCCTGTACACCATGATGTGTCTGGTCCTTATAAATCAAAATGCGATTAATTAGATTCAGTCAGCTTACAAATGAATTTATTACGAATGTAACAACGTTTACATTTAAGAGATTATTGCCACTAAAAATTGACTCTATTGTATGCGATTTCTTTGCTGAACAATATTAATTTCCTTACACAAGTTTCCTTTTATAAATTTGAACAGAGAAAGAACAGACACTGGTGTAGAATAACTTGGATCCATTTTATTTCGTTTGTTTAACATCAGGAGTCAGTCCTCCAGTAAGGAGCGTTGTAAGGAAGTCATCGTGAAAAAAGCATAAGGATGATAAGTTATCTTAAAGTAATATATATATATATATATATATATATATATATATATATAATAAGAGCAAAGTTCCCCGTAGGGAAATGAATCAATTTGTTATTAGGATGGGGATAAGTTAGTGATATTTGCATGAACAGGTATAATAAAATATATACTGATTAGAATTCATAAGAGTGGAAAAATCAATATTTTGGTGTATAGGAAGTCGAATGAAACACGGTGATGCAATCTATTGAGAAGTAGAATTCAAAGGATCAAAAATTAAGTCTAATATAAAAGTTAAGTGAAAAATGTACGTTAAAATCGTATTATAACTTGTTTGATGAAATCTCACAGGTTGTACGCAGCTGACGAGAAACAACAAAATAAAATGGATCCATCCTATTCTGCATCAATATTTGTTCTTTCTCTGTGCAATTATTAATTTTCCTTCTGAATAAAACTTTAATAAGTCAAACGGATCAGGTTTAAAATATAGAATAACACTGTAAAGGCTCAGTTTCAACTGCATTTGAAATCTCTGCTAATAATTCAGGAGATATTGTTTTAAAATGTGTACGGAACCAGAACCTGTTGTAACTTTATTAACTAATGGTTTATATTAAGAAAAGTTTGTTATGCCATAGATATTTAACATTAATAAATTAGCTAGCTTTCATTTGTTTTAATAAATTTAAACCTTTAAGTGTTGGTTTACAAAGATTTAATTAATTCCATGTTAAATTACGTACTTATAGCAGTGAGAGAACTACTAAAAACCAACAACGACTTAATAACTGTTTCGTCCCAGTTTGGGACTCTTCAGACTAATCTTCAAGAGTGTTTAAATTAGTGTTAGTGAAAAGTGGAGTAGATCAAATTAATTATGATTATATTTCAATAGTTTAAACAAACTGATAAGTTTTTTTAAATTTTGGTGATATTTCGAATAAAATTACTGCCTGTAGTCGGGTAAACTGTTGGAATTGTTTAATTTGTTAGCGTTATAATATAGTTATTATTATTATTCCCTGGCGTTCCTAGTGGAACATAGGGCTTCAGCAACACATCTCCACTTTGTTCTATTTTCTGCTGTCCTCTTCACCTGGGTCTACGATAGCCCATAATACCTCACCTCCTCCTCGCCACACGATCTCCTCCATGTCACCCTCGATTTGACCACCCACTCGTCGCTTCCCATTTGAATTCCACTCGAGCGATGGCCTGCATTCAGCGCAATGTCATTCGACGGACTCCTCAATGTATGACCGATCCATCTCCACTTTCTCCTACATATTTGTTGAGCGATTGGCTCTTGGTTGGTTTGTTCCCAGCCAGAGTTTCTTGTTACTAATTCTTTCTGATCGGCCATTTGATCTTCAGTATGGGGGCAGTGAAGGGGGCAGCTGTTGATCAAAGTCTGAAGTGACCTGTTGGAAATCCTTTTCGTGACACGCAGTACAAGTTTCTGACCCGTATAGAAGCACTGGCTGACCTCACATTGGTGTTGAAAATCCGAATCTTGTTGTTTATGCTGGCTGAGTGCAGATTTCCGAACTGGTTTCAGGTTGATGAAGGCGTACCTTCCTTTCCGATTCTGACCGGCTTTGACATATTCATCCGTTCCGTCCGTAGTTGAATCTATGCTTCCAATATAAGTGAAGGAAGTAGTATAGTTATCACAAAGTAAAATTTAAACTGATGGATACCACTTAAGTCATATATACAAATTATTGCCACATAAAGGCATTTATTTTTGCCAGTGAATGCTTTATTCTCTCTTGAATTATGTTCAAATCTTAATTAAGTTAGACTGCGATGCAATGACTTACAACAAAATGAAACCAGATAAGAGACAAAAGCATTTTAACAAAGCTATAATGTAGACGTATATTTTGGCCAGTGTATCCAAAACAAAGAAGACAATGAGAAAGATAAAGTTGAATAAGAAGTGACATAAAATTGTAGCTCAGTATTTTGGTAAAAGTTAGTCCTATTAGATTCAGAAATATTATACAAACTTTATTTATTTTTCATTCCTTTGTGTTCTAGGTGGAACATAGGGCTTCAAGGTATAAAGTTTCAGTATCCGTGGTCTTGTTTTTGTGGTGTACAGTCGCTAGCCTCACACCCAACCTTCCCTCTTTACTAGGCTTGCTATTGACCAGTAAACTAGGCGAGGTTAGTTCGTAAGTCTATCCGTGAGTCGAACCAGGACATCTGATGTGTTTAGCGAGCTCTCTCTCTACCCTTGAACCATCAGCTTGCCTACTTCATCAATATTAAATGCCTACAGAAATCGTAAATTTTTTGTCGTGAGAGAAAAGCTGATAGTTAAATAAACTCGTTATAGTATTTGACTGACATTCTTTATTAAGGCAAACTTCAAGAAATTTGTTACACCCACTTATAACTACTCTGCTGTAAAACGGGATTTTTTATATGAATCGGTAGTAACGCAAACTTTTAAGGTACCTTAAACTAGAGACACGTTTATCTGAACCTTAAAACTGTATACACGGATAAACATTTGCTACTGTTATTAGCTGGAACTGGAGTGTTGACCTTATATTTTGAAATGAACACCTGGGTGTTTCATACCAAGTTTTCTTAAAACAAGAGATAACAGAAAATTGACATCCATACAAAGCGAAATCAGTTAATGTTAGGCAGATAGAATTATAAAAGGTCGTTCACTCCACATATCACTCAACAGTAACCTGAAATAATCTCTGCATGGTAAAACTAAGTTGTATTGCATAATAATATTTGCGAAACTGTCAATTTTTCAAGCCCACATTAGGAAAAACAATTTAAAAAATCACTATTTTAAATGAATATGGAAAAATAAATATTATTTTAACAAAAGTCTAACATATTCTGAATAAAATTTTATTTATATATACAATAAGTCTATATCAGACCTTTGAGTGCTATATTTTAAATGTTCAGAATCACTGAAAATTTTACAATTCATGCGTTTTTAATTTATCTGAGTTAACCTTTGTTTGAATGTTAAGACCTAGTTAGATGTATAAAGAGGTATCACTTATGAAGTGGACGAATTCCTTTGTGGTTAGCATGGAACACACCTAGCTAGCAAGCATATCTCATATCTCAGACGATGAAGAACAAGGTTGGTGGCTCAGAGGCATCTGTTTTCAGTTGTACTACTATCGGAATACTGCTATTACTACTAATAATAACAATATTACTGCAATAGACTGCTTAATTCAACACCCTATTAACTGATCATCGACTTGCCATCAGCCATCTGAATTAATTCTGAGACGATTCAACACCTTTAAGGTAGCTTCTTCTATTAGTCTAGAGAACTCCTACATACGACTAAAGACTTATTACTCTCATTTTGGCTCAGGCATTATCTGTTCATTATCGTATAGCAGCAGCATCTAAAATGTATTGTCTGTTTCATTCACTCCACCTAATTGTACGTGTCTGTAAATCGCTGGGATACTGTACACACCGGAATTCGGTACAGTGACTGTACAACAAAAACACTCGCTTAATATGCTTACTCATTAAAACATCGTGAAGATTTATTAAACTAATAGATAGAATTGAAACGTATGAAAATGTTTATATTATTTCTGAGTAACTGGAATAGCCCACTACAAATTCATTTAAATAAACAAAGAAATGACTTATCATCCAGTATTTCAGGTAAATCCTGTTCACTTATATCCGGATTTATTTTTATGTATCACTGAAATTTCAGTTTACCTAAGATGAGTTTGACAAACTTGGACAGAACAGTCTCAGCAACTCATAGTGGTATGCCAGTCTAAAAATACCTTCGATATTTTATA